ATAGACTTCTATACAACCAGAGGAGTCGCCCCCTGGTGGACACTGGAATGTGATCTGGCCCTAGAGAGAGACTATGAATTGGCAGAGTACCTCTCTACAGTCAGAGACATGAAGCAGAGACAGAACCTCACCAAGTACAGGCTCAGTGACCACAAACTGGAGATTGAACCAGGACGACACAAAAAGTCATGGCAACCAAGAGAGAACAGAACATGTGGTCACTGTGGGACCGGTGAGGCTGAGACGGAGATGCACTTCCTCCTAAAATGCCAAACATTCCATAAATTTTGGAACATCTACCTCAACAAATTTGACTCTGTGATTTGAAATTTTAAAAAATGGAGTGATATCTCAAAATGAAAAGTCCTCCTAGGAGAAGGAGAGAGGAGACCTTGCTGCCCAGTATGTACTAACATGCCACAACCTGAGGGACAGCAGGTGACGCTTTGGCGATGCCGTTCCTGGGCGTTCACGCCAATGGAGCAGATCTGAGTTTGGGTTGAATTGGGAGAGAGACGGAGAGAGAGAGAGATCTATCTATCCGTGGATCTCTCTCTCACTTCGCTCCTCCCTTTGCTTCGGTGTCAGAGAGCTGCGGTGGCCTACAGGTAACGTGGGAGCAATGGAGGCTCTGTCTCACACCACTTTATGAGATGTTGTATTAATATTATTGTTATATTGATATTGTTGTGTATTGATGTTATTGTATGTTTCAGTTTTTTGATGCTTTGGCAATACTGTTTCTGAACTTTCATGCCAATAAAGCAAATTTTGAATTTGAATTGAATTTGAATGCAGCTTCAAGACACTTCAGCTTTGGCTTCACTTTTCGGAACTGGAGGTTGCTGCTTGGGGAAACCTCAGTCAAGGATTTGTAGATATACAAAAATGTGACCATGTACAGTCAGTGAACTGACCTCAGAGTCTCCAGTCTACAGTGTGGACTCTCCAGTCCAGCAGACAGCAGCTCCACTCCTGAATCCTTCAGGCTGTTGTTTTCACTCAGGTCCAGCTCTCTCAGATGTGACGGGTTGGACTTCAGAGCTGAGGCAATGACTTCACAGTGAGTCTCCGAAAGTTCACAGTCACGAAGTCTGTCATGGCACAAATATTTGTTAGATGTAACGATGAAAGAGGACACTTTATATTTACTTCATGCATTTAATGACAATGACAAAATAAGTTCTCGTATTCAAGTTGAAATATTACCAATATATTATATACTAATATTACGGTAACTAATTACAAGAAATGGAGGAAAAAATCGTCTGTCACCAAGAGCTCTACATTACCTCAAAGCAGACAGAAATGTGTATAAATGTATGTGTATAATCCACAGACTATAGCTGCTGCTATAATATTAGCATAGCCTAGCACGAATCAAACTGAACTCCATTCAGAAAACAAGCATTTAAAAAGTTGTTTTCCTGTCGTAATGCTGCCAGACCTAACAAGGCATGAATTCAGACTTTTTACAAATCAACATCATTATGTTGTTATTTCGGCATCGTTGTTATCTGGTTATTGCAATGAAATTACAGCAAAATCTGTTTATTTTGGGTTCATACAGCTGTAGTAAACCAGGCAACATGTCAGTATAGGTCATCACACCCAACTTTTCACACATTCCAAATCCAAAATCCAAAATATGTTCACAATTCCATTTGATAAAAAGTTCTTGATTTCACAAAATATTTGAGTTACATCAAAGTGTCATCATTTCTTAACTATGAAGGTCCATAGGAGGCTGTCTGTAGCGCAGCTCGACACAGGGCTGAGATGTGAGTGGAGCTGGGCCTGGATAAAGGTGGGCCTGGATAAAGGTGGAGCTGGGCCTGGATAAAGGTGGAGCTGGGCCTGGATAAAGGTGGAGCTGGGCCTGGATAAAGGTGGAGGTGGGCCTGGATAAAGGTGGAGGTCTAAACAGACGTGAGTGCAGCTTCCTGCTGTCACAGTGTTTTAAATACATTGGTAAGGCAGGCTATGCTACATGTAGCCTCTGCTCCATGAGATGAACGACAGCAACAAGGGCTCACATGTCCTCTCATCACACTGTTCACACTGTTCACACTGTTCACTGTGATGACCACAGCCAGTGGACCAACAGGCCTACGTGCTGTTAAATCACAGATATTATTTTACTCTTGATAAGCTACTTTAGCCAGAGTAGATTATCATTTTCATTTAAATAATGGAACTGGATTGAATGCATATTAATTGCAAATAGAAGATAGGCCACAATTCTAACAGCTGTACAGTAACAGGGTTCAATGAAAACAAATCACTAATGACTAAAACTTTTAAAGGTTAATAATAATAGAGCTGAACTAGTGATTAATAACTGAATAATACACTCGTTTTTTGCTTAAAGTAAATGTCTTATCACTTAATTTTCTTCTCAGAGTACTCCAGAATGCTACATTTTAAAGCTCATATTTAAAATAAAATTTAGTTTAGTTTTGCACAGGTTGCACATTGTTGTTTTGAAAAGATATGCAGTGTAAAACTCTTTATTGCCAAATATTTGAACGTGTTTCGTTTAGTTTTTCACAGGTTGCACTTTATTGTTATTATCTTGAAAAGATATTCAGTGCAAAACAGGTGACTTGCAGCCACAATAAGCTATTTTATGCCAAATATTAGTTATTTTTTGCACAGATTGAACTTTATTTGCATTGTTCTATCAAAGTGATGCACATTGTGTTTGTTTTTGTCTAATGGAGCAATCTGGTTTACTTGAAAGTGATTACAATTTTCTTTATTCTATTATTTGAAAAAGCACAGATGGAGGAGTCACAAAATGTTATTTCAATAAAAGTTCAACATGCACCATTTTGTTACAATTTTGTTGGGGTGGTGGGGCATGAACATTTTTCTTCCTCCAAAGTGGGGCGCGACAGAAAAAGTTTGAGAACCACTGACTTACACAAACACACTAAAACGCACAAAAGAACACATTAGATGCTGCTGAAAAAAGTATTGGTTAAATCCGATTAATAGTGACTAACTTTTAAAACATGCACCATGCACTATTTAGGGCCCGAGCACCGACAACGTCGGGCCACGAGGTCCCTATTGAAACTGTAGGAATTATTATTATTATTATTATTTCTCTCGAATGAAACGCCTTTTTGGGGGCTTTATCATGTCCCCAACCTCCCCATATTTGGCGAGCATATCAGGACTGCGGGAAAATTTGATATTTTATGGGTCCCCTAGAAGTTGGAAATGCAAGCCCCGACAGCCCTTATGTCCAAATGACTTAAAATTTTACGGACATGAGCAACTGAATGAGCTCCGCCTACCAAAATGTTCCACCATTTTGAATTTTGTAAAAACAAAATAAAATCACTTCTCCTTGACCCTGGGTCTGATTGGTACCAAATTTGCCTTTTAATCATTATTGGATATATATCATCAAAAGTTATGAACATCTTGTTGATATCTTATTGCATTAAGAATATATGGACCAATGAATTTCATAGGGGCGTGACCTTCTACAGCAATATATACAACTTCAAAACCATGTGGTCTATCATCACAAAATCTGTAGCATATGTTCACATTGTGTCCTGTAACATGCCCTCAAACATTCATTCCATACAACCACTAGGGGGCGATGCAGTAATACTCCCATTTCTTTGCATTTTTAGGCATTTTTCATCGTTTTCAGGAATTGTACTTTAACGAACTCCTCCCACAGAATTTACACGATCAACTTCAAATTTGGTCACGATGATCTAAAGACATTAATGATGAAAAGTTCCTAAAATGGTCTACTGACTGATGTTGCACGGAGGATCGATACTAAAAAGGTACCGCGGTACCCATACGTTAAAAACTATACGATTTTGCGTATTTTTAGTATCGATACATCATTAAAATAGCACGTGATCAGAGAGCACTCACTGCTCCGCTCCCTGTCATGCTGCCTGCACCATTGACTGCAAGGGGGCGGGGCTTCCCAGCGCTCACACAGCAACAGGCAGCGCTCACTCACAGCAGTGATAGCTGGGGAGACATGCATCAAGTGCAGGAGCTTTTGCCGACCGTCCTCGGATTGTTGGAAAAAAGATGGCAGAAGTGAAATGTGGAAGTGCTTTGGCTACATTGCAGACAGTGAAGGAAAGCCCACTGACCTACAGAGACCCGTCTGCAAAACGTGTTTCAAAGCCACACAGACCAAGGGAGGCAACACGTCAAACATGGCAAAGCACCTTTCAGACAGACACCCCCAACTTTTCAAAGCAAATGTGATTATAAACATGAACACCCCCATGCTCACCCATATACAGCTAACACGAGTAGCCTTAGCCTAGTTTGACGACAAGCCTATATGATCATGAGGTCACAATGCACACAAAAGTGTACTATATGAAACACAATTGATGCAAAATGGCTACATGCTGGTGGAGCCTGAGGGTGGATCTTGAGCCAATTATTTTTATTTTTAGTTAAGGAAAAATAATTATTCCATGAATTAAGATAAAATATGAAATGAAAATATCAAACTCACTATGCAAGTAAATGAAGCATTGTTTACCCACCCACTCCCACAGACAGTCAGACAGATGCCAGCAGAGGAAATATGAGAGAGGCTCAAAAGATGGAAGAGGTTCAACATTAATATGAATGCCATTTGTTAAGTGTTCAAAAAGCTGGGCAGGAACAAGCTGGTAAAAAAAGGGAACCGTACAGATGTTTTATTTATTACTGTTATAGATAAATATACCAGTATCGTATCGTATTTGTGGTATTGTATCGAATTCTGGTATCGTAAGTATCGGGTATCGTGATACTTATGGCAGGTATCGTATCGAAGTCATAATTTTGGTATCGTGACAACCCTACTACTGACATTGAACGACCTTTGTTTTATGTGGCGCCCATGTCACGCACATTTCGTGCCGTTTGCCATGAAAGAGGAAGTTGTTGTAACTACAAGGTACTTTATTCAATCTGCCCCAAACTTGTTCTGCATGATGCTGGTCCAGGCCTGAGCACATTTCCATGCCAACATTTTCACAAAGTCATAGCGCCACCTACTGGCAAAAGGAAATGACAAGTTTTATACTTTGATGTACTCCGATTAGGAAGTTACCCAGATCAGTCTCAAATTTGGTAAGCTAAGCCGTAAGATGTTGATGATGCTTCATCATGAATATTGTGAGTTGTCGTTAAATGCTGTTGCCGTGGCAACGCGTTATCTGCCATGAAAAATGAAGCTTATTTTTCTGTGACTTAGGATGCTCAACAAGCCTTGGAACTTTGCACAGGTGTCACAGGTGATGGAAATAAATATTTCATATGGCTTTTTGGCTTGACCCTTTCAAATTGCCTCGATAGCGCCCCCTACAGATATTCAAAAATGCAGCCCCAGCGCTACATTTGACCTACATGTATGAAATTTGGTAGGCACATGTATCACATGAAGATTTAAAAAAAAGTTAAATTAACGGGAAGTCGGCCATTTTGATTTTTGTGTGAATTTTCCCATGATTTCTAGTTGCTATACTTTAACGAACTCCTTTCTGACTTTGTCAGATCTACTTCAAATTTGGTCAGTATAATCTAAAGACCTTTGCTAGTAAAAATTACTCAAAGCTTTACGTTTGATGGAATGCCGTAGCCGTGGCGGCCATTGTACGTGATTCGCCGTTAAACAACAAGCTGATGTAACTCCACTGGACTTGCTCAAATCTGTCCCAAACTTGCCATACTTGATAACAGTCATGGCCTGAGGATGTCTACAAGCCAATTTTCACTCAAAGTCATAGCGCCACCTACTGGCAACAGGAAGACAGCGTTATGTGACAAACTGTTTCCGATTGTGGTCTGCACTTGATGTAGAAAAACATTATGTATGTTTGCACGTGTTCTCTAGCGCCACATAGTGGATACAGTAAGTAGTGTAATATTTGCACTACGTAATTTTCAGCGTCACAGTTCACGCTCCGGGACGCGTTGTCCGATGGTCAAAGACATTCACGCCCGCGTCTGCCAGCGGGACACGGGAAGGTGCGAGGGCCCGTACATTACTGCTTGCAGCTTTAATTTAATTTGTTTCTATTCAGACTACATGGTGTATAAACATAGAACTTCTTTCAGAGGGGCAAATATTCATTCTCATGAACAGACATCAGCCAGGTTGTAGATGAACCCAGTATCTACACTAAATACGTTCACCGACCACCGCCAGATGACGTTATAAACACAACAGCGTTTGGTTTCCCACCGTATCTGGGACAAGGAGTCTAGATCAGCACTGACTAAATATCTTGTAAAAAGCTTAGTAATAGTATAATAGATTTTTGGTTTACAGGGTATGATTTAAAAATGGTGTCATATTTAATCTCATTATTATGTACCCAAGATCTTCCTCGTTGCCAGTTTTTTGCTTCATTATGTAAAAAAGAAGTAAACAAGTGAAAATGAAACACCAAAGTACGGTTTACATTTTGTATTATCTTGTCATTTGCAATCGGCTTCATCTTTTCAAGTGTTGATTGTAAAAAGAAATGTTATTTTTCAGTAAAAAGCATTGGTGTGATAGTTTGTATATTTGAAGATTTAAACTACTTATCTAAACTGATTTATTAAGTTAATCACATCTGGACTTACACAGCATTCCTGCAGTTCCTCACAGCTGGAATGAGTCTCCGTCGCCCCTCATATGAGGTGTTGAACTTCTCCAGGTCCAACTCATCCAGAACCTCCTCTGACATCTGCAGCATGTAGGCCAGAGCTGAGCAGTGGATCTCTGAGAGTTCCTTCTCCGATCGGTTGTCCGACTTCAGGAACTCTTGGATCTCCTGATGCACCGAGTGGTCGTTCATCTCCGTCAGACAGTGGAAGATGTTGATGCTTCTGTCAGGAGAGATTTCATAACTGTTCATCTCCTTCAGGTTGTTGATGGCTCTCTGGAAGATTTCTGAACTGTTGTCCCTCCGACCCAATAGGCCTCCTAAGAGTCTTTGGTTGGACTCCAGAGAGAGGCCATGAAGGAAGCGGACAAACAGGTCCAGGTGGCCATTTTTACTTTTGAGGGATTTCTCCATGGCGCTCCTCAGGAAGTCCTCCAGGGTTGGGTAATCATCCCTCCCCATGAAGTCCTTCAGTACCTCTGTCTTCCTGTTTGTGAAACAGTGGAACATGTAGACTGCAGCCAGAAACTCTTGAACACTGAGATGAACAAAGCAGTAGACAGTTTCCCCGAAGATCGCACTCTCTCTTTTGAAGATCTCTGTACAAACTCCTGAGAACACCGAGGCCTCCGTGACATCAAGACCACACTTCTCCAGGTCTTCTTGGTAGAACATGATGTTTCCTTTCTCCAGATGTTCAAACGCCAGCCTCCCCAGCTTCAGAAGAACTTCCTTGTCAGCCTCTGTCAGCTCCTGAGGACTCGTCTCATGTCCCTCGTGGTACTTCTGCTTCTTCCTCTTTGTCTGGACCAGCAGGAAGTGTGAGTACATGTCAGTCAGGGTCTTGGGCAACTCTCCTCTCTGGTCTGTAGTCCACATGTGGTCCAGAACTGTAGCAGTG